AGGAAAGCCTTTTACGTGGTGCTGACAGAGCTCGACTTCAGCTATTGAAAAGGGGGTTTGGTGAAGAAGGAAAGAGGTTGCGGCTGACAGTGGTTAAAGAGGGGGAAGGGGAAAAGAAAAAAGGAAGTGGGAAAAACAGAGAGAGGAGAGGGCGGGGAGAGAGCAGAGGAAGTCTGTGGGAAGGTAGAGAGAAAGTAAAAGAAGAGAGGAACGCAAAAGCGAAAAGGAAGAGAGGCGATAATTTAGTTATACGATGCTTTTCTTGTGAATTTTAATTGTTGATACGTGATCCTGTTTCTATCATGTTCCAGCCTGTTACTCCAAATCATTTGCAAGGGGTACAGACTACTCAACCGTCAACTGTAGCATCCTTGCAGCCTCCAGTTCCTGGGCAGTCTGCGCATCCCAGCTCCTTGGTAGTTCCAAAATCTTCTGTGCCTGGAACAGCTGCGCCAGTGATGCCGTCTTTTGTACCTGTACCAGAAGCAATCTTGTCAAATGCTCCAAAATTTTCATTTAATGGGAATTCTCAGTTGATGAAGAACAGTCAGTTGTCTAAAACTGTATGTTACCATCTTGATTTTTTCTATGCTGATAAGAAAAATACAAGTCCTAACCCAGCTTGTTTCAATCTAATTGAGTCCTGGACAGGCAATCTATGGTTTCTTAGATTGATTGATACTGGATGTGAAATTATAAGGTTTAGCATTTAATTCTACATGTGGATGTTCATTACATGTGAAACTTTATCTAGGAAGTGAGAACAGTTAAATGTTTTTAACTTGATGTTCTTCTGCGTGCTTTAACACAAGAATTGAGTAGAGAATTGAATAGAGTAGAAAAGTTTCAGTCTTAAATGAAAAGATATGCAACTTACTCTAATAGGCACCATGTAGCATTTATTTAACATGTAATGAGTAGGAACTAGGACCAAATGCCATTGTTTCTTCATGTGGCTTCCATAAAAAACTGTTTTCTTAAAGCCATATTGGGAGTTAAGGCCTTTACATTTATATACTTCTGCCTTGTCTTTTCCCATTTTATTTTGCCTTATTATTGTCTTTTTCATATATTCATGAATGAGTGAACTGTGATTTGCATGCTCATGTGTTATCTTCTAAAATCTTTTTGTTTCGGTCTCATCTTTGGTTGCAGGAAAATTCAGTTGCTGTTGCTCAAACTATTATTCCACCATCTGCTTCGACAGTTCCCCAGTCGGTTCCATCATCCGTTCATCCTTCAGGTTCCTCAACAAGTGTGCCATCAAACTCCGGCCTTGGTCTCACAACTCCACATCTACTATCTACCACATCTTTTCCTAGGCCTCCTGGATTGTCTGGAACTCCTTCGACACCTGGTCCCCCTGGATTGGTCCCCTCACAAGTGACTGCATTGTCTCTTACTGATGGTTCCACTTCTTCAATCCCGAGACCTCCTATGCCAACAGTCCCTGCTTCGGCAAATCCAGCTGTTCAGCAACAAATCTACCCTGCTTATCCTTCTTTGCCTGCTATGGCTGATTCGCCCCAAGGAATTTGGTTGCAACCAGCTCAGATAGGTGGCATCCCTTGCCCACCTTTTTGGCCACATCCTGCTGTTTATCCAGGACCTTATCCTTTACCAGCACTTGGCTCGAATCTTCCTTCTGCTCCCTTATCTTATTCTCAACCTGTTGGTGTTACTTCTTTGGGAACTGCGGGCGCAAGTCCAGCATCTGCTGCTACATCAGATCATCAATTGGCTGGGATCCTCAGATTGCAGACAGACTCACTCCCAGGAATTGGTATGCTCAGGGTTTCATGCTAGATTACTGATCAGCTAACAATGTAAGAGCTGTTTAACTTCAATCGCTATTACATGAAGTTAATATTTTCTTCATCAATATCACATGGTAATTGCAGATAATAGGAAACCTGCTCAAGATGTTGGCAATAAGGGATGGTTCTGCTGTAGGCGAACAATTTAGATGCTTGGACTGCCCACAAGACTGAAAGTGGAATTGTCTACTACTATAATGCCTTGACAGGACAATCAACATACGAAAAACCACCTGATTTTTAAGGGAGAGGTATTTATTATTACTATTTTACTTTTCTAGTTATTGATTTTGTGATAGCGTAATCTACAACTCTCATGTATAGCTGGAGAAGCCTTTTCACCATCTGTGTGGATCCTTTTTCTGAAACTTATAATCAGAGCACTCTTGGACTACTTATCTTATAAAGGTGTCATATAAAGAAATCCTTTACAATAAAAAAGCTAACTCCAAATCCAGGAAATGAAAATAAGATGTCATAGATCTTATTTTCTTACTAAGCATGAAACACCTAGTTTAGATTGGCCACTTTTTGAAGTGTGCCTGACTTATAGCACTATCAGTAAAATCAATTATGTAGATCTGATTTCTTTAGGTACATCTTCTTAGGGGGGAATTGAGACCTTCATGGTAGAAGACTATGAAGCTATTGGGTTGCTTCATCACTTTGTCTTAATCAGTATTCCTTTTTTTGATTATCTCTTGAATGTTTCTGGTCTTGTTTAGATTTTTCTTGGGACCTAGTAGTTTCTTAACTTGTCTGTTTCTCCTTTTCAAGACTTGGAATCTAGAGAATCCTCAGTTAAGGGCAAAATTTTTACTCCATGTTTAGATTGAAATGAATGACAGCAAGGGAAAGGAAAGAAAAAGAAGAGATGCTCATCCTTCTTTTTTACTTGCTTGGATAAAAAAAACAATTACTAAAGGAAATGAAGGATGACGAGGGTCCTTCTCTTTCTTGTTTTTCTTGTAAAAGATAACAATTAGTTTCCCATTTCTCCAAATTGGGTGGAAAATAAGGGGAAATGAAAGTGCTCAAAAACTTCAAAAGTAAATTTTCCATTTTCATTCTATTATTGAGAGGAATAATTGATTATTTTCTGATAAGTAATTTATTTATTTATTTATAAAGCTGAACCAAATAAAATACTTAATAAATCCTCCGTTTTTCTTTAATTTTTAGAATTTTAGTAACTGAGACAAGGGAAACATTTTTCTTTTCTTTTCGTTTCATTAAAAAATCACTCTTTCTTTTGTTCTTGTCTTTTCTTTTCAATCCTTGGTTGATTTTTAGCCAAACATACTCTTAAGATCTCCGTTGAAGAAGGTGACAGCTTTTTTAACCTAAGATAACTATATTTACCATAGAAAAGGAATTCAGACTTTCATGGCAAGAGAGGGAGTGGTGATTGGTAGGCAAGACTAGACATTTGGGAAATGAAGACAAATCTTCTGCAATCTTGGCGGGAACCAGGCAAGCACTTTCTAGCAGAAGTGAAGGGGAAACTTTGGAGTTTCTTTGTGGAATCAACGACAATTCTGGGGTAATTTTTATCTTTGAGGTGTCAAAACCGCTGGTTGGCAGGCAATTGGATCAGGTTGTTGAGACTTGGCCTTCTTTTGATTGCAGAAAAACTAGCACCAAAAGAGTAGGAGGCCTTTTAGGGAATTCCATTGATGGGCGATAGGTCATATACTGTAGGATTAATGGAGGAGGAGATGGTAATCCAAAAGGTAACCACATTGTGCGGAATGAGAAGTGATACTGCATTACTCTAATTCTATTTTAAAAAATGCAGGAGTTAAGCCTAGGAATCGGTTTTGGATTAATAAGGAACATCTTTCTTTGGACAATTTTGTAATGAGAGATTCGAAGTTGCTGGGTAAGAAATTCTGTTTAATTGTGGTTGGTTAGAATGGTTCTAGGGAAGTTTATTGGGTCTAGAAGGCTAAAAGCTCAAGGAAATTAACATGTAGGAATTTCTATATTTGATAGAATCGAGTCGGGCAATCAAAAGAGGGCCTTGGCCCCAAAAAAGAGATGTATTCAGACTTCTGCAGCAGGTAGCTAAAAGTGTGCTCATGCTGAAAGAATCCCAAGCATAAGAAAGGCTATAAAGAGCACTAGGGAGACAATTGAACTCTAATAAATTGTTATTGCTGCAAGGGAAGCAGATATTGCAGGATGACTTTAGAATTTGTGCCAAAAGGCCTATTGGTAATTTATACCTTAAAGAGAAACCAAAGTTGTTGGTAGGTAGGAGGAGGATGTTTTCTTACAAGAGCATTCTCCTTTTCAAAATCGTGGGGTGGTGTGATCTTGGATGATAAGGGTACAATAGGAGAGGATAAGTCCCCTTTTCAAAAGAGTGGGTTGAAGTAAAAGTGGATGATAAGGGTCTGTCTGGAGAGAGATGAGTCTATGCATCCTTATTTTGAAGAATATTTTGATGACTCTCTTCTTCCCCTAATTTGAACTGGAGGAAAAAGGAAGACGCCATTATGTTTGATTTTGCAATGGAGGATTGATCGGCTAGCAAACAAGTGGAAGAGGAGGTCAAGAAGAGATGTAGAAAGATATCGAGGGTTTTAATGAGATGCCCTAGGTGGTGTTGGAATTCTCTTAATTGATCCATGCTTGTGGATGAAGAGGATGGTATGATTGCGAGTGTAATAACAAGGTGTATCATCTTCAATCTTCATCATGAAGATTATAAGTTGGAAAGTTAAGTGATTAGTAAATGCCCTTAAGAGAAAGAAGATTAAGGAGGTAATTTCTAAGGTAGGTTGGGATGCTCAAAGAAACTAAGAGGAAGACTGCTTGTGCTTTACATTTTCATAGTTTTTAGATTCTAGATCTAAATGGTGGTTCTTGAGCCGATGTTGTGCGGTCTTTGGGGCCAATTTTGTGATGTGAGTACTAGGATAGTTTCTTTTTGTTGAGTCCATGAGGGTGTATTTTCTCTATAGGTTCTCTTGCTTCTAGAGGGAAATTAGGCAGTCGTTTACTTGCATTTATAATCTTACTCGCGTGGTCTCCACTCTTCTCTTTCAAAGGAGCTCTCTTTTTTCTTTTTCTTTTCCCTCTTAAATGTTGGGATTATTTAGCTAGTCTTCTAGTGTTTAGTGATTCAATATATGCCAGAACTTGTTGGAGAAGTTAGGTTGTTAACAAGTTATTGTCGAATGAGGGGTTTCAATAATTTATTAAAGATCTAAGCTTGTGGATTCCTCACTCAAATGCTCAATTACCTGGTCAGGTAGTGGGGGTAGAGTTGTTTCTTATCTGTTGTCTAATTGTTGGGAGGATAATGTCCTCGATTTGTGCAATAGGTTCTTGCTTGCCTATTCAAAGAATTGCATGAGGCAGGATCTTTTGTGAAATTCTTAAATTCTTCTTTCTTCATTTTAATCGTTAATGTGGCGGGGGCAACTAATATTAAGGACTTCTGTCCTATCAGCCTACTTGGGAGTGTTTACAAGCTCATCGTAGAGGTGTTAGCTAGAAAAATGACTAGGTGGCAGTCTTGTGCTCTTACGAGTTTGGGGAGGGTGGACAAAAAAGGGTATGGCTTAGGTATGTGGAGGAAAATCAAGATGGGTTGGTCTGGTTTTGCAGAAAACCTGTGGTGGAAAGTGGGGAGAGATAATGTTTCTACTTTTTGACATGATCAGTGGTTGAAGGGTGGGTGTCTTAAAGGATGTTTTCCCAAAATCTATGCAATAACACAATCCAAAAATATGTTGGTGGAAGAAGCTTATGAGCAAAATAACGACAGATGTATTTGGTCCGTCAATGTGTGCAGAAATCTGAATGATTAGGAAGTGGAGGAATATGTTAAATTGTTAAAGAACATTTCTGAATTTCAACCCTGTAGTGATCCGGATCAAGTGCTGTGGAAGGGGTGCAACAATGGTGAGTTTTCAGTGAACTCTTATTGCAACAAGTTGATAGGTCACACAAAGAGTAGCTCCAGATTTCCAAACAACTTAATCTGGAAAAATGCTGCGCCTCCGAGGATAACTTTCTTTGCTTGGGAGGCATGTAGGGAATGCATTTTGACTTTGGATAAGCTGAAGGTTAGGGGATGTATCTTGGTGAATGGTTGCTTTATGTGCTTGGAAAATGAGGAAAACTGTCGCCACTTTCTACTTGGGTGTCCTATTGCTATGACATCTGGTGCTTGGTGTATGGCTTGGTAGGAATTTGCTGGATACAGGCTGATTCGGTTGAGGAGGAGATTTGGGCTTGGGGTGGGGCTGGTTTGAAGACTAAAATCGCGAGACTCATTCCCTTATCTGTTTTTTGGGTTATTTGGAAGGAAGGGAATTCTAAAGCGTTTGGGGGGACTGTGAATAATATTAGTAGATTTAGAGAGAGATGGTTTAAATACTTTGGTTGTCTTGTATTGGGGCATGATATAATTAAGGTTGAGGATTTTGGGGATATCATTGACTCATTAACAAATCTGTAAATTTTTTGTAAAGGGGCGGTACCCCTCTTATTTGGTACCTTGCTAATACAAATTTATACTTTTTATTTTAAAAAAAAAATGACAAAGGTGATGGGTGCAGTAGTTGGTTAATGTAGACATGCATTCATGGAAGGAGGAAAATTATGGATGCAGTTCGGGTGGTCAATAAGGTGGTGGATGATATGATATTTAGGAATAAAGAAGAAATCTTTTGCAAACTTGATATGGAGAAAGCCTATGATCATGTCACTTGAAGATTCATTGAGTACATAGTGAAGAGATTGGACTTTGGAGATAAATAGTGCAAGTGGATCAACTCTTGCATCACCATTACATCTTTTGCGGTTATGGTGAATGGGAGTCCATCTTCCTTTTTCAAGGCATCCAGAGGCTTTAGATAAAGATATCCACTATCTCTGAATTGGTGAATTAGTGTTATGTAAAGTGGATGAAGATGCATTATTCAATCTTAAATGCATCTTATTGTGTTTCCAAGTGATTTTTGGCCTTAATATTAACAGTGGCCAAGTCTGAATCGGTGAGGTTAGGAGATGAGAGTGATGCTACTAGCTTGGCAAGAGTCTTGGGATGCAAAAGGGTTGAGTTGTCGATTAAATGCCTGGGGATGTCTTTAGGAGGGAATACAAAACTGTGTGGACGTGGGACCCTGTGGTGGTAAGATTTGAGAGGAGACTGGCAAGGTGGAAGAAAAATTTACCATCTAAAGGTGCGCGACTGACTTTCATTAAAAGCA